AAAGGCTTTCGGGAGGAAGTTGGCAACCACGGCCCTTAAAGGGCAAATGTAATTAATGAAGGTTTCGGCCGAAGCCCTGTAGACCAAAACATCCTAAACCCTGAGCCCCACATTTTTTACATGTTTTTAACCCTATATCATATCTGGTTTTAAAGCTTTTTGGGTTTGCCCTTTTCAAAGGCTTTCGGGAGGAAGTTGGCAACCAAGGTTCAAGGGCAAATGTAACTCACAAAGGCTTCAGGCGAAACCTTTGTAGATTGAAAGCCTGCTAAACCTTAAGCCCGCTAAGACTTGCTCCCAAATCTCTTTCCTGAGCCCTTAGATTCCCCAAGAAAAACAACTCTTACTGAACATTTTGCAAGCAGCGCGAACATATTGCAAAGCACGGTGGGCATGTACCCACCGGTACGCTAGGGGTACTGGGAAACCAAATGAAAATAAGATTGCATAGTACTTGGAGATCTCAAAGAAGGCCCGTTTTGACATTTCGTCGTGAGTTTGAGAACCATGGCCTCCGCAGCAATCGCCAGTGCACCAGTGAACTACCCGCTCTCCTTCAGGGTTCCCATTGTCGAACGTGGCCAGTTCCCGAAAGAGCTGAATGCGCTTTTTGTTAAAGCGGCCTGAAGTGTCAGATACTATGCTACATATTTCATTCCGGCGCTTTTGCCAATCTCTCCACTGGGCAGGCTTCTCGGACACGGGCACATACTGATATAGGTCAAGGAGAACGGCCATCAACGCGCGCCTGAACTGGCTTCTGAACGTGCTGGTCTCAAAGAGGTGGCCCAGCCTCACAATTGAAGAATAGAAGCCTCCGAAAGAGTTCAATATCACCTTTCTGGCCAGTGCCAGTTGGTGAATGACACAGTAAACGCCCAGCATGGGATATACGCATTGATCATCCGTTCGTTCAGATCCAATGTTGTCCTGGTGCTTCTGGAAGAGACGTGTCCGAAAGTACTTCAGCACAGCCACATTTGTTGCAAGGGAATCCTGGCAAATGCACAGGCCTTGGATTCTGGCCTTGATGGCCACATTGGCCAGGCCAAGGCATTCAAAGCGGGATGAAAGACTGCCCAAAAAAAAGCATCAGTCGGCTAGCCACCTCCTGATAGAGAGTGCTTTTGTCACTTTTGGGAAGGCACACGGGCGGTGTATGAACGGAAAACACCTTGTGCTGAAGCTGTTTGGAACTGCTGTAAGCGGCTATAAAAGTTTGGATGTTGTTCATCACAGCCACGGTTCGGGAAAGCTTCCACTCGGGCAAAACTATATTGGACAGCTTCATGTTGGTATCGTCCACTATGCTAGTAGTGATGGTGTGATGGAGACGCGCGTGTTCATTGTTTGAACTGTTTGCCTCCTCTCCATTGCTGTGTCCGTGAGTAAAGCTGTTGAAAAAAGTGACCACTGCTGAACACCATCCTTTGAGAAAGCTGACGAGAAGGCGCAAACGCCGGCCTCGGGCGCCAGTGGAATTTTGACCTGCAAGATTCAAAGAGCTCGTGGCTTGTACTGCCTCCCTGAAACTTTCTGCTGGGTGCTCAGGAGGCCTCAGGTTGGCAAGCTTCGCCAGTTTCCGTGTGGTTCTTGCAACCAGGCTGGCTGCGCGGGCCTTGGCTGTCCTGGCCTGCCGCTTCATGGCTGCTTGCAACAAAGCCACGGGGTCATCCTCGGACGAATCACTATCAGAATCACTGCCACCAGAATGGCAAACAAATCGGCCAAATCCGCTGCTTGCATCATCGGAGGTATTCGAAGCATTTGGGTCATTTGAGTCGTCTGAGGCAGTTGAATCTAAATGCCAAAAGTCACTCACACCCGGCTCTGGGCTAGATGAATCTGAACGGGCATTTGCACGGCTGGGACTTGACAACCCTGCACGACTGTGCACGCTGGTAGGACTGCTAGATGCCTCTGAGTCTGAACTGATCAGACGAAGCATCGACATCGGAACTTGCTGTGGTCCATTGGCTGGAGGGACCGTGATCACTTCTATGTTTCTTACCTTTAGTTAGTTCCTAGTTGTTGGTCCAAGTACGCCCGGCAGTATGCCACAAACATCATGGAATCATGGTGTATGGTCTACATGGTTGGCTAACGCTGGCTAGGATTGACCCTCGCATGCTTGCGTTTCTGCTATCCTCTGGCCTATGACACATACCTGGAGCTGGCCACGAGCGTGCACGTTTTGCAACAAGACAAGACTTTCAATGCTAACGCTGCACGCTTGTTCGGCGGCAGTTCTGGGAACACCCACCTCGTAATCTTCGAATCCTGGCAGGGGCTCTTTAAACGGCCGCAAGATCCCGGCCACCTCAGATTCAAAAAGCCAGCGGTGCCAAATCAAAGTATATATATATATAAACACGCGATACGATATATATATTTTAAAACATATATATGTATATATATATATCCACTCGCTCGCATGCCAAACAGAACACCTAACTTTCCCTTGCTGAATTATACAATCATAGACCCCAAACAGCTTCAAAACGATTCGTTTAGACCAATATTAGTCAAAAATTGCTTTCTTGGCACGCCCTACCTTCACCCCAAGAGCAAGCTGCTTCATCAATGAGTTTTTGTCGGCGTTGACATCGCTATTTGTTCCGCCACGCTCCTCTCCAGGAAGCCGGGCCACAGAGACCAGCCACAGAGTTCAGGGGCGCGGCCAAGACAAGGACAAGAGGAGGACAAGACCCGGACGCAGAGCCGGGCCACAGAGCCCAGCCACAGAGTTCAGGGGCGCGGCCAAGAGAAAAGGTTTCCAGGACCCTCTCAAACCATGCATATAAGAGGTGGCCTGAAATAGCCTTTTTGCTGCCAAAAACACCTTCTCCAGGCCACCTCTTCAAAAGACGGCTTGGGAATAGACAAGAGGAGGACAAGGCCTGGACAGAGAGCCCAGCCACAGCGGACAAGAGGAGGACAAGGCCTGGACACAGAGCACAGAGCCCAGGCACAGAGGACAAGAGGAGGACAAGGCCTGGACGCAGAACAGGACACAGAGCCCAGCCACAAAGTTCAGGGGCGCGGCCAGTGAGTGTGGCCAGCTTTTTTGTTCTAGAAGATAGAGCCCCAACAGTAAACTTTTGGGGGGAGAAACCGGCTTGTCGTACGGCCTTTGCTTCTAACCTGGACACGTTTGTTCTGTGTTCTCAGAGCTTGGGACTCAGAATGTCTTCGGCTATTGCGGTCTTCGTTCAACTCAAGCAATTGAGTTCCAGCAGAAATTCACGAACTCCACATGTTTCCTATCACACTCAGGTTCCAAAACAAACTCACCTGACTCAGGGAAAGGCTTGCAGATGTTTGCAGTTTGCACTCGTATGCATTTGCGAGTTCGATCCCTCGGTTTGCTGCGCAATCAACATTTCAAGATGGTTTCGAACACCAAGGAACACTGCCATTGCAAGCAAGTTTCTTCTTCTACGCAAAATGTCTTCGGGTTGCGCCGTCTGATCTGGAGCAAGCATCCTCTGACTGTTGACGCTGCGCTCCTGAGAAATGTTTGTGGTACCACTCGGAAAAGTTTGGAGGTGTCAATGATTTAGCAAAGCATTGGTGAGTCTATAGTTTTGCAAAGTATCGGTATCGGTCTCGGTGATTATTGAGGAAGTCCACCCAGTACAGGCTAAGAGATCAACCCAGTTTACTGGAGTTGCATTGTGCGACTGGCTTACACACAAAGTTTGCGACCAAGGCTCTCACGAAACGGATTGTAGCCTGGAATCTTGGAGCGGGAATTTAAAACTGAGAACAACGGGCAAGGTATGCCAAGCACTGCCAAGTCAGACTCTTCCGTCCCCTCAGTTTGAAGGTGAGGAGTGAGGAGTGAATGATTGATACCAACCAAAAAAACAGCCTAGGCAGCCTAGCCATACTACTACCACCACCACCACATCACATTAGCTTCCACTTGCCTGTTTGCGATAGGCTGGCGCAACACAATTTGCGTGACACTGTGTAACAAAGAACACTTTTGCAAATTAAGCTTGAGCAAGGGTCTTCATCGGAGTGATGGTGTTGAGCACATACGTGGCAGTAGCAATCGTCAATCTCTCTCACGTCACTAAAGAAGTGCTGCCCTTAGGGAGCAACCTATTGATTCGCAATTAGACAATATTCGCAGTATTGGGTTGAAATCGCAATGGCATCAACTCACCCAAAACAGTTCCAAGGTGCACTCAAAGTTCTGCAGGCAAAAGCCCCGACTCTTCTTGTGGATCTCACTGCTGGAGACAACCCGGGTTGGGATGCCGAGGTAGGATCCGATGTGTTTCCTGGGCTCTCATGGTGGGATCACAAACACAGCTGAACTAACCTTTGGAACACTTCGACACTCCGTTTACTCACAGTGGCAATTTTTGGTGGTGCAAAAGTTTCTACAGTGTACTGCACTACTACCGCAAAACCGCACACCATCCATTCCTTCGAGTTGATGCCAGGAAACATCAAATATGCAAGGATGCCGGTTCCCTCGCAAGCACCCCAAGCCTTGATCCTCAGGGAAGAACGACAGTGACAGAAGCCCCATCCCCACATCTCTCTCTCTCTCTCTTCTCTGAGGGGCGCGAGGGCTCGAGCTGGAACAAACAAAGGACTCAAACCCAAAACACGTCTCAGTGGCAAAAATTGTCCAAGATCTTCAGCCCAAACGAAACAGATTTGCTACGACTACATCAGTTTGTTTTCGTACGCTGTCAAGCTGCGCTGCTCCCTCAGCGAGCTCACAACCATCTGCTTGAATCTTCTCGAAGTACCTGATACTGAAGGCAAACATCATTTTTGGCTCGGCTGTCTCTCGTGAATCGTGGTGACTCATCCCTCCACCAATCATGAACCTAAAGAATGAGAAGATCATTGAAGTTTTTCTCAGTCCACTCTCCACAGCTCTTTACCAAGACGAGCTGCAAACGAACCCAATTCTTCGGGAAAATCGTGAAGTCAATCTTCTGCTCATCTTCCTAAGCAGCATACAACTGAGATAGCGGACAAAGCCAAGGCTACCGGTCAAACGCCCTGGTCGGCCCCCGCAGACTTGACCCAATGATGGAGCCATATGGAGCCAAGCTTCCCAAAAACTGCCGGCTTTGGACTGCACGGTGGAGCTTTCTATATCAGTCTCGGAAGATGTTGGCCTCGTCGATGCTGAACCTGTATCCGCCTTGGATGGTTTCACTTGGGCCAACTTGAGCGGTGAACTCTCTCACTTTAGTTCTTCCTACTCCTTCCTGCTGCCAAATGTCAGAAGTGCCGTCAATGTTGTCACTGATCAAGCTAAAGGCACGCTTCATGGCTCTGAGCGAGTCCCTGATCCTAGTCAAATCTTCTACTGACCTGCAAGACTTGTGTCATTTGACTTTACAACTTGGGAAAAAGTCACCACCTTAGCAGTCCCGAATCAATCCGGAAATGGCTTCGGCGGCTCTGTTGTGAGCAAACATGAGCAAACCCAATCTGATTAACACAGTGTGAAACGTCAACTCCAACACCATCTCCTACATCACACTGCACACTATGCACAATCCTGACACATACATGTAAATAAAGAGGGTACAAATGGAAATAACAAGTGCCTTACTAGTAGGAACAAGAAGCTACTAGGAACAAGTGCCTTACTAGTAGAAACAAGAAGCTACTACGAACAAGTTCCTTACTAGTAGGAACAAGAAGCTACTAGTAACAAGTGCCTTACTAGTAGGAACAAGACGCTACTAGGAACAAGTGCCCTACTAGTAGGAACAAGAAGCTACTAGGAACAAGTGCCTTACTGGTAGGAACAAGAAGCTACTAGGAACAAGTGCCTTACTGGTAGGAACAAGAAGCTACTAGGAACAAGTGCCTTACT